GTTGTACATTTTCTGTTATGTTAAACTTACATTAAAGTTTTTCTTCATTACCCATTCAAGCCGTCTCCAACCATTATTAGTCTCAAAGTGGGTTCCTCGTCATCGAATATTAGGTGTATGTTTTAATACGAAGAGTGTGTTCTGAAAATGTGTGGTAATTTTCGTCTGAGGAGATTTTTTGTGTTCTTTTATTCGTGTGTTTAATTTACGTCCAGTTCGCCTATATAGAAATCAGAACAGTTTTACACTGTATTTTTTATATAGTTCCTGGTGTGGAGGTCGTCATATATATATATATTTTTTTTTTCTTGGCATTTGTTTTGTGTATTATTGTTTTCTGGGGTGTTAGGTTGATCAGGGTTATAATGAACTCCCTTGCGAAATTGACTTGTTATTTGGGGAACTTTTTCGTTCGTGTAAAACGTTTGGTTAAGTGTATGACTTTTTCATCATTGTTATCTCTGGTGCAAACACTGTAGGCTAAACGAATTAAACCTTTTACTATGCCTAGTTTATGGTGTATGTGTGACTGGATAGCTAATTATTATAGTTTTCACTATGTGTGTCTTTTCTGTATACCTTTGTGTTGAAACCATAGGATGATCGGGTGATTGTAACATTTAGAAAGTTAATTGTGCAATTATTTCTGTTTTCTGTAGTAAAGTTAATGTCTATGGATGTTGTTTAAGTGTTGTAAAAATCGTGTTTGTTCGAAGTGAAACCACAGAAAACGTTCACAACGTCATCTTAGCCAGTGTATTGATTTGTGTAAAGATGTGTTCATTACCTGTTATTCGAGATTTCAAATAGTTCCAGATAAAGTATTTCTCATGTACAAGTCCGTGTATTTGACGTGTGGGATTGGAACCATACTGTTGTACTTATTCTAATATATATAAAAAAAACAATTCCAATTACTTATTATAAGCTGTTAACGAATGAATATTATTATTTGGTGGGAACTTATCCTTGTATATCATTTAATTAGTTTTTTATATTTGAAGATAAGCATTTTTTTGGGGGGTTCATTCTTTGGTTAATTAGTTTATGATTGGAGACAGAGAATTTAGTTTTTTTCAATCTTTTAATTAGGTTTTGATTTGGTGACAATTATTTAGGGGGATTTTTTAATGTTTTTTACATGTGTATTTCATGATGTTTCTTTATTTTGATTAAGTTTATAAGAACCTACTTTCGTTCTCGTAGCTGATGGTAGACAGTGAGAAATATTGAGTAAAACATTTTGAATCTTGCTATTTTAGTTACACTGTTGCACAAAACATCCATATGGTATTCGACGTAAAATCCACCTGACGTCACCCACAACAGTTCTGCAGCTGTAAATGTTCTACCTACAGGTGCTTCCACAACAATACCATCAAGTTTTGGTTCTTGATATTGCCCGTTTCTTCTTGTGGCGTGTCTATATAGTTATGCATTTCAATGCCTTTTTTTCCCTACTCACTAGTACTGACGAATATTTACCTTAAATAATATTTACACTTGAGTAACAAGATAATTATATTTTACTGCGTATACCATAAAAATTTAAATCTTCTTTTAATTGAACTCGTATTTTGCAGTATTTTCTCTTCCTTATGGCTGTCAATAAAGATATGAATCTAAGAATGTATACCTGTTACTGCTGTGTACTAAGCCATAACAAATAAGTTACAGACTATGAACAGAGACATAACTCACAAGTGTGTAGAGAGTGTTGTAGTTCTAAGGCTATTTTGGAAACTGGCTTTTGTTGCACTCTTACTTTACTTTTCTTTCCTTTACTTTTTTAATTTGAAACCTAAAGTTATAATTCCAAAACATTAACAAAATTTTAAGTGTCCATTTTTCTAAAAAAAAAAAAAATCCGTTCTTATTCGTGGAAAGTTAGTGGAAGTTAAAAAACAGATAGAAATACAATATGCTACAACCCAACCATTTCTTGACCGATTTTACCACAAATTCGTAGAATCTAACCGAAACCAATTTGGTAACACTGAAGATTGTATGTTAAGTTGAACAATTGACGATTTAGTATATTGTTTTTAATGTACTTTTTTTTCGTAAGATAATTTTATATATCCCGAAGAATCTTCCATGTATGATCTTAAATTATATATTAAGCTGTATGTGTATTAAAGCACTTTTATTTAAAAAAGGATCTGCAAGATATGTTGTGTTTAAAGAAAGATAACGGCATTTGAGAATCCCCCCACCTCCAATTTATATCAAAATTCCGATCAGTATTTAACATATGTAACCTACTCGTGCATTAAAGTTGTGGCAAATGTTTTTTTTTTTTATCAAAACACACAGAAACATTAGTAATGGCAAGTACAATATTGAAACTTTTAATAAGGACACAATTAGGTATTAGTCTATGAAAATAGTTTTCGTGCCTAAATTAATAATTTTTTCTCCAATTCGGAAATGGAGTACATTTTATGATGAACTCCAACAATTTTTATGAAACTGCATGCGCCCTAATGGCTCAGCGATAAGTTTTGCAGCTTACAACGCTAAAATTCGGGTTTAGAAACTCGTGCTGAGTAGAGCACATGTAGCCCGTTGTGTAGCTTTGTGCTTAAAAAAAAATTATAAGAAGGCTACCTACGATTTGTTAAAATATATAGTCTGTACATTGGCCGTGACGTTATACATTTGAATAACATCGAATAGAGTTTCTTAAACTTACTGGCTTCAACAGTGTCATTATCTTAGAATTCAAGTAGAGAAGGAAGCGGACTTCCGGACAGAAATGAACCACTTATTCTAACACATTACATTCAAGTTACAAATTACTGTGCATCTACTTATTAGCTGCTGCCATCTGATGACAGTTTTTATACAAATATTTGATTAAAAGCGCAATAGTATAAAAATGGCACAAATATTACCTATGTGGTGCAGAATTTAGTATCCTACTATTTTTGTACAATACTCATACCCTAAAAGTTGAAGTGACAGGGTGACAAGGCGTAATAGGTGTATCTTATCAATAGTTAAACCTTTAGAGGTTACTAAAGAAAAAATGTCTCAGCTAAAGTATCCTGTTCAGACTAAAAATCTGAATTTGTGGGTCATACTTGGGTAAATATTATCAGCGATTTGGAATGTGAAAAAATAAAAATATGTGTGAGATGGAGTTGATAGGGCAAAACTATATTAGGTGCATATCAAAGCATTTTTCCTTTCATCTTATCTGAACTTTGTTTGAGAAAGATACACAAAAAATTAAAATTCAATATCAGAATAGTATGAAAAAAATGAAGCTATTATAAACTTTGCCAGGGTTTTATATATGTGTGTGGGTGTTAAGGATTCTTCTACAGTAGGTGTCTATGACTTGGCGATAAATTCCAACAATAAACGGACAGCACACACTCCACTTGTTTTAAAATAATATATTTAAAACAAGTTAAACTATGTACAAAAATTCTTTACACTATGGGGATCACAGTTTTATCTTATACAGTTCTCTTCTTCTTGTCTAAAGTCCACTTAGGCTGAT